ATACGAAGAATTGTTGGCAAATGGTAGATGACAGGTTGCTGAAACACGATAAAACAGCGAGCGTTTCCAACGAGAGACTGAGGAGACAGGAGAGGAAAGAGGGGAGAATCTGTAGACAATCTGTGCCAATCTTTACCAGGCTGGAAGTGCCCTGTTTAGACGCAGAGAACGGTGCAATGCGAGGCTGACAGACCCTTTGCCTGGGGTGCAGGGGTGACACCCCGTTTGGCTCTGCCCTCGCTCCACCCTGAGTGCGGTTGATGCGTTGGGGAGGAGCTGCATTAGCCCTCGGACTGGGTCCTTGGGGAGCCCATTTCTCTGGACGACTAACTCAGGAGGAGTTTGCCATAGTGTACGTGTCTCAAAGTAAGTGAAGCAAATCTAAGATTTGCAAAGCACTAGGATGATTCTACTGCCAATCTGCAGCCTAGGGCCAGGGAGGGAATTTTTTCCTTCTTCATCCTTTCCTTGACCCCTTGGGAAATGTTCCTTAGGGGTCATTTCAAAGTCCAACTGTGACTATGTGAGCAATAGTCAATTCCCATTGACTGAAAACGTTGTTTTTACTTTTTTATCAGATCTTCACTCTGCAGAATGGCTGCCCTTGAGCCTGGGATGTATTATGACTAATGACCAAAAGTGATTTCATCATTAGTCTTCCACCTCTTCTAGGGCTGTACTGAAACAAAATAAGCAAATGTAAATTAGTGTTATCCAGCTGGCTGTGTCATTAGGAAGATGAATGCATGTGGCCTGTCTCCACACATCCCTTGCTTTGTGGGATGCGGCTGATCCATCCCTCTCATTGTGTTTGGTGAGCAAATCGAACCTTCCCGCAGGTGAACAGGCACCGGTCAAGAACAGAGGCTGCAAGGTTTCTTCAGCCAATTTCTGTTTTGAATATTATGTTTTGACTTGTGAACCCTGAGGAATTCAGATCTCAGGGCAGAGGAAATGTTGGAGGAGGTCAGGCGAGTTGTGCTCCTTCTCTGTAACTTGGAACAGCAAATAGTGCATGTTCCAGGGTAACATCTGATTTTTTGCTTTTACGAGGCAGATGTTTAGGATAAGTGATCTGCTGTTTATTTTAATTGCCATCTTCCAATCCTCCTTCCTACGTGCACGCACACATTCAGAGACCATAAATAAGGATTCTTCAGATTATGCCGTTATTTGGGTAGCTGGCCCTGTCTTCCATCAGCGCCTGGACTGGGCTGTGCGCTGCAAACCCAGTTCCCCTTGCACATCAGTTTTACAGTGGTGTAAATCAATTAGGTCTAATTCCTTTCTCAATGACACCAGCATAAATCTGAAATCGCTCCACTGACGTCAGCGCCAGAAGTGTAAAGGAAAGCTAGACTCCCTTGACTTCAGAGTGTTGCTGCTGATTTACACAAGAACAAGAGCCAAAGTAGTTGGGCTCAGCATGTCCGAGCACTGTGTGAACAGCAGGCCAGGGTTTGCTCTGGGGTACAGTGATGATGATGGAGAGCAACTCCATGGAATTTGCTGGCATTAAGTTGGTGGAAATGAGTTGTACGTTCACCACAGTTTGCGTCTCAAAGAGCTCCATGTAGTAGGTCATTAATGAAAGGGAAGGGTAAACTGATGCTCTTGTGTAGAATGATTAGTCCCATTGCTTGTCACTGTTCCAGGAGAGTCACACTGGGATGAATCTAACCATTTGGCATGTGTTGTGTTGATGATGATGATGGAGAGCAAGGCAGCGGTACTCTCATATCTCACTGGACGCCAAGCAGGTGTCCATGGAGGAACTAGTGGTCCTCGCTGAAGAAAGAGGGGAACATGGAGGAGCTCCCTTGCAACCAGTGCCAAGAGCTGGTCTGGAGGGGTGGGAATGCTGTCTGCACTTTCTCCTCCAAGAGGACAGAAGGAGTTCAGGGTATTAATCCTCACTCCCTTGTTTCTCTGTATTTTCCCATCTTGCCTCTAAAGGGCTAGAAGGGAAAGCCTGGCTGTAAAAGGGGTGCCCGCCCCTGTCTCTGCTCCGCTGTGGCTTCAGCCTGCAGACTGTGCGTTTAAGCAGGAGAGAAGAAGTGGATATTTCCTCTTGAAGCTGTAGGGCTTCCCAAACAACATTGTTGGTTAAAGAGACTTTGGCAAAGATGGCCTGGATTTCTGGTGGCTGCACTTCTGGAGGCTAGAAAGCCCAGTGGTCACCTCAGAGTCCATCAGCCTTGTTCCATTAAAGCCAGTGGAGAGAAGCCGGTTTACACCCCTCTTCTGCTGGCATCTGGCCAATCTCCTAATTGTTCATAAGTGACTTTCCCTTTTAATAGCACACGTTTGCTCCGAGTGGCTGGGTTTGCACACAGTGAAATGCAGCCATGTGTGGCATAACTGCTTTAAAGCCAGCGAGTCAAAACGGGGTCCATGAGAACAACCAGGTAGCCTGGAGGTACGGGGGCTGTGGGTGTCCCAAGGCACTAAGCCCTCACTTTCTTTCTTTTTTAAAAAAGCTGATGCCATGCTTTACCCATCTCTCAGTCTCCCCCACGCTGGCAGAGGTGGAAGGTAGCAGAACCTCAGAAACCAGAGAAGAACTGCAGTCCTTCCTTTTCCACTTCTTCTCCAAGGGTCCCACCACAGCTATAATCAAAAGGCAGGAGAAATAAAAGCGTTCTCCATGCTCCCAGCCCCAAGGGACCACAAAGCTGTTCCCACATCCATGCTGTACACCATGGGGATGCGTGGCTGCTCCAAGCTCCAGACGTGGGTTTTGACAGCCCAGGCTGAACCTGTGACCCGCAGCAGCTTAGAGGTCCCTCGTTCACACTCACCTCCTTGTCCATACACTAGGCTGGAAGGTGGCCCCGTGGGGATGAAATGAGAGCTAAGGGAGCGTGGCCCCAGTTTTCCCACCCGTTCTGTTCTCACTGGCCGTGGGTAACTCCGCCGATGCGGTCGCTGGTGGGAGCGGCAGAGTTTACCAGTTGTGAAACAAAACTGTGATTATTGCCATAGAAACCGGAGCTTGAATGTGAAGCTTATCCAACGGGGCAGCAGGAAGAGGACATCGGACTTCTGTCTTCTATCAAAAATCATGTGCATAGTTTCGATTTGGAATACCAGAAAGCCACTATTATAATAATCACGACATAAAATACCCAGATATCAAGAAACATTGGCTTCTTTTGGGTTCCTATGAAGAACTAGGAGGACCTCAGGGACTGGCCTGTGAGGGATGAGCGTGGTTAGTAGCACCACTGCGAAGAGCAAAGCTCTTTCTAATTAGGAAAGGAGGCAATTAAATCACAGTGGCTGAGGGATGCAGCGTCCCAAACACAACCTTGCTCTGCTTCATGGCTCTCTTTCCTGAATGCAGATGGGCAATTTGCTTAGATAATTTCCTCCTCCTTCTCATTTGAACTCTCTACAACAGTGGCTTTGCTCTAGGAGTTTACAGTATGGTTCAAGTTTCCTTGTAAGCTTACAAGCTCCATCTATAGGATAGTTGGAGAAGAGTCCTTTGGTTTCAAGCTGATGAAAAAGGACAGAGAAGCTTCACTTGGAGATTCCAGTTTTGTTCTGGAAGACCTCCAGCATGCTTAGCATTCCACATTGCAGAAAGTCACTGATTTCATCGTTGTTACTTCATATTTGGGTATAGCTTTCCTCCCCGGTTAAACTGACTGTCCTCGGTCCCATGACTGTTGCCTGTGGAAACTGCTGGAGTTGTGGAGCTGCTTTTATTCCACATGGGAAATCTCAGGGATTTTCTGAACTGCTCCTGGTCTGCAAGATTTCAGGGCTACATCTGTGATGCCTTTAGGTTCTGATAGCCCACAGTGCCCCATGTACAAAAGTAAACAGTAGCGATTAACATATCGAAATCGTCTAAATCCAGCTGATTTTGCAAATCAGTTTCTCTTCAGCTTGGTGTTTAATGATTGCCAGCCCCAGCCCACACCCCACTGCACAGCCTGCACCAGCAGAAGTAGTCAAGTCCATGTGGTTTTTTTTAGGAGGAGGAAGCACAAAAGGTGAAAGACTTTTTCTGCCTTCTTTTGTGCAGAGTAGGATCCTTCTTGGCAATAAGATGTGATACAGGCTGGGGCTGTGTGTGTTTCGGGAGGGAGGGAGGGAGGGAGGGAGGAAAGAAGGAAAGAAGGAAGGAAGGAAGGAAGGAAGGAAGGAAGGAAGGAAGGAAGGAAGGAAGGAAGGAAGGAAGGAAGGAAGGAAAGACTGCCACTTTGCAGACAGAGTATGAGTAGTCTTTTAGAGATGCTTGCAACTGACACTTTGAAAACATCTCTCTCATGTTGGAACTTAATCTTTGATTTGCACAAGAAGTAAAACTTCCATTTTGGATACCTAGCATTCTTCTGAGAGAGGCATTGTGTTCCCAAAGAACTGATATGTTTATTTCCTTTCTGCAGATCCATTCTGGTTTTAAATGCTGCTTTCTCCCCACACACGCGCAGAGCATAATCTTTCACATCTACTTATTAAAATATCAGTTTCAAAGAAATAAAAGCACAGGCATATCCAGTACTTGTTCCTTTCTCTATCTCAAGATTAATTTCCCATTTTTCCATCAAACATGTCTGTTATTCAGGTATCTCCACAATCAGGAAAAAGCCCTGTTTCTTCCCTTCTGTAGATTCGTAGATATTAAAACCAGAAGGAAATGTGTTTTCATCTCCTGGGCAGCTGACCTGAGTGTATATGTAGAGATGCACCTGTTTAGTCCAATTATTTCATGCAAAGAAGCTTTGCTTTTTGGTAGCTACTGTTGGAAAATTATTGCTGGGGTACTAAAGCACCCAGCTGTCCAGGGGTGCGACCCTTGCTGAATGCCCTGGTCCATCATTCCACTTACGTAGCTCAGGAGTGCAATGACACTGTAGAAACCCCACTGCAGAACATGGGAGTAGAAGCTCACCCCCCTCGAGGAGGTGCAGCCTTCCTCTACCCCAACCCTTACCATGCTGAACTGATGTGGTTTTTTTTTCTTTCTTTCTCTTTCTGTCCCACAGAGATCCCTGGGTGTCCAGGAATGGTGGAGAGCTGAATGGGCTGACCTCTCTTCCTCACCATCCTGAGCTCATGAGGGCTCTGAAGAGATGGAGTGAGAGCATGGCCTTGCTTCTCTGAGCCTGGGGATGCTGTGGGAAGTGATTGCCTTGGCAAATGTCTTCATCCCAACCCATAGCCCATTGTGCATCACCTGAAGGAGAAGCTGATGAAGGATAACCAGAGGACCAGGAAAGGCTCTACTAGCCTTGGAGGACACAGATGGGGGGACCGGCATTAAGAGAGGCACTTTGCAGTAGTTGCTGCATGTGAAACCAGCTCTGGAAAGAAGCTACAGCAGCCCTGTCAACTGAAGGAGTTGAACGTCCAAACCACCACAAAAGGTGCAGAGGGGTTTCCCTGGCACAGCATCCTTGGAAAGCACTTTCAAAAGGGAAGGGGGATATCAGGACCACGTGGCCGTCTCCAGTGGCTGGTTTGGAAGAGGCACAGCAAGGTCACTGCCTCACGGTCAGGTCAGGAGACCAGCAGGACGTGCTCACAGCCGCTTGTCCACGTGGTGGCTGGGGCTGCAGGCGGAACAGGAATCTGCCCATGACTGAGAGAGAAGGAGCATGGAAGATTGCTTTGACTTATTCTGTGCTTGTTTCTCCTTCTGGTGTCTTCTCTGTCTACCTCTTTGTCTCTCTAGGACTACGTGTACTGCCCGTGGGGCCCAGACCCTCCCAAACAAGCAGAGATGAGTCCTGCCCAGTGCAGGACCCCGCTGCCCAGTGCAGTGCTCTTGCTGGATGGGGCTGACAGTGCACGGTGCAGACATGTCATGGCCTTCGTCTGCTCCTTTATGCCAACAAATCTGCAACGGTAATGCCTGGAGTTCAGATGGGAGAAAGGCTTGAACCTGAAAATCCTTTTACTTGCAAGCAGTCACATGCTAGCACAACCAGCCACCCTTGGGAGACGATTTTAGCACCCGAGTCCCAAAACATTGTAGAGCATCTGTCCCTCTCCTGTAGCTGTGAAGTGACCGTGCCGGCAGGCTGCACACTCAGCTCCTGCGTCTTGGATTGTAATAAACCTCATGAAACAGAGAAAGAGACAGAGACGGAGGGAATGGCAGGGGCGCAGGCAGAAAATAGTAGGAAAAACTGATTCAAAATCATAGGAAAATGTGCAGCTGTGGATTGCAGGTGGTGTCCCAGCTGCAGACTGTCATGCCCAGCTGGGCAGCGGAAGGTCTCTCTTCACCGAGCTGCTCCTGGTGGCCTGGGCATAAAGTGCTGGTACCGAACTGTGCCGGGAGCCCCATCTCAGACCTTCTCTCTCGGGCTTCCAGCTGCAAACCCCCTTCCCTCATGTGCAATCCTATTTATTTATTTATTTTCTTGCTGCTTGATGCAAAGCTGCTAACGGAGCACCCTGCCCACAAACACCCGCAGCCGGGGGAGGATGGAGGGGGGGATGTGTGCTGTGTGTCTGTGCCAGGGGAGCGGGCAAAGGGCAGGGGTGTGCTTTGGGGGGGGCCAGATCCAGGCACGCACACGGGGGGTGCATGTGAGACAGGAGGAAAAGGCTGCAGTTAAACCAGAAATACTTTCCCGGGGGGGGGGGTGTGTGTGCAATTTTGATATTTCAGGAATTAAGAACTGGGCAGGAATATTTGATATTTCAGGAATTAAGTCTGGGCAAACCTTTGTTGGGCAGGACAGCAGGACAGCAGTAAGTTCTGCAGCATCCTTCCAGCCAGATTTTCTCCATGCAGGATTTGTGTCTCTGTGCAAGTTGCTTGCCCAGATTGTGTCCTCCCAGCACTCCCAGCTGTAATGAAGCACATTTACTCTCTGTACGTTGTGGCTTTGGACACTTGCAGTGTGCCCACAGAGGTTTAATACCTGGCAGCCTGTTCTGCTCTGTCCAAAGAGATATCCATGTACAGACCCATTTAACAGCCAGTTTGAGACCAGCAGATACGAGCCTTTCTAGGTGCCTAATGCTCAGCCTTGGCTGTTCCTACCCATTTTGCTAAAAAACTGGCACGCCAGCAGCATCTGCCCACGGTCAGGTATCCCATTTTATGGAAAGCCTGTGTGTCCCAGGGCAGAGGGGAACCGTTTCTCTGGGAGAGGGAGGCTCCCCCATGCCCTGCTGCTCTCCTGCCGCTCCCACGCTCAGGAGGGAGTCAGGGTGCCTGGGCATCCCTTGGCAGGGCTCCCATCTGCTCCAGGGGAGCCTGGCTTCTCCCATACCCTTCCCTCTGAGGTGCCTCACCAAGGCTTTGTCCAAACCTGTGTGGCTGCTGAAAGGAAATATTTCCCAACCAAACCTGTTCCTCGGAAGATTTCTGGCTGGCTCCAGTCACTTATTATGTACTGGAAAGACTGCCCTTGGGATTGGTTTTCAGGTTAGAGACATGCATGGAGTCGCGGTAGTTCTTTTTCTCACAAATCCTCTCATGTGCCAGAGCAGGTTGCGGTAAGTGAAATGGATGCACTTGTTCTGATAATTTGCCAGCGTGGCCCAAAAGCAGTGACCTGCTTACTGCTGATTGCAGAGTTGTAAGAGTTGGAGATAGAAGTGTTACAAATCCATCTGCCTATGACCCTTCAGGCTTGTTCCATGTATTACATTTACCGGCGGTGTGCTGGGTCTATTTTTAAATGCCCTGACACCAGGGTTCTTGTGCTGTCCTTTGGGAGATTGCTCTGTAGTCCAAGTCAGGAGCTGCTGTTAGTATGCCACCTGCATTTCCTCCTGAAAACTTCATTCCATTATTCCTAGTGATGCTCTTCAAATACCTGCTGCTCATTATGTCCCAGTCAGGCCCTACCACTTGCCCTGTGCTCCTCTTTCCTCCTCCAAGAACCTCTCTGGCTCCCTGATCGTTGCCATTCCCTGTCCTTCCCGTAGTTGGGCACAGAATGAGCCTGTTTGTTAACTCAACCGTGGGGTTTGTCAGAGATCCCTACCCACTGGTGGAGCAGCCGGGACCTCCAGCAATGCCCGGTCTCCCCGGTGGCTGTGGAGCTGCTCTCTCCTGCAGGAGCTGCAGGAAAGATGTGGACACAGAGATGTCTCTGAAAGCCAACCAGTGTTGGCAACGAGCACTCGTACCTGTGGGGAGTGAACCAGCTGGGGACAGCACACCACAAAGTCTCCATCTCAGCAAAGCCCAAGCTGAGCAGTGGAGGTGGGTGATGCCCCAGTATCGCCTGTGCAGCTGTACTAGGGATAGGTGGGGGGGCAGAGGCAGGGAGCTGTGGTCTGTCCTGCCTGGAAATGGTATCCATGAGCCGGAGCCGCAGCTCTGCAGGGAGGGAGCCCCCCGTGCATCACGGGGGCTCGGCAGGCTCAGGGCACGTGGAGCGCTTGCTTGGGGAGTCTTTGTGTACAGCTCGGCTGGAGCACCATTGTGATTGTAAGAGCTCTGTTCTTCTCACCGAACAAATTGTTCCTACAAATAAAGAATGAAAAGTCCTCCTCTTCCCACTCTTCTTTTTTGGGCGACTCATCGAGCGGCACCAGAGGAAGGGACTGTGCCTGGACGGTGGGAGCAGAAAGTCACTGTGCTCCTGTGGGTCCAGGGCAGCCACGGAGAGGTGTTGGGGCTACCTGGGGGAGAGGCTGAATGGGGGAAAAATAGCCAGGGGAAGCCAAAACACAAAGTGCACCCGAGCAGGTTGCAGGGCCTCTCCACGAGGCTTACTGATGCTGATGGGTGACAGGTTGCAATATCTCCAGGCACTGTGGGAATGGGGGTGTGGGAGGAGGCTAGAGAGGAGCTGAGCAATATCTAGGCAGTCCGTGGAGGTACTGGTCCTACAGGTGCTGTGGAGCAGAGCAGGAGGAGGACAGATCAAAGAAACCAAGGAGAAGAAAAAGACAGATGAGAGAGGATGCCGAGTCTCCCGAGGGTCTCACAGGATGACAACAGAGGAATCTGGACTCTCCTACTCCAGTGTGTGGTCCTGAGGGCTTTGCCCAAACTTCAGATCAGTGACAGAGCAGAAGGCTTCTTAATTCTTCCTCTCGGTCCCCAGCTGTTCTCCCCAGTGACATGGGGCAGGGTGGCAGTGACAACATTACAGCTTTTCAGAAGCAGTTGTCAGGGGAAGCATTTGGTCCCCAAACAACGAAGGAATCAAAATGACACATTTCCAACAGAAAGCATGATTAGACAATTAATCATCCCGATTTAAAACATTGGAGGGCCTGGAGTGCCCTAATGCATAAAGATGCTGAAGGCAGCGGTTGTGCTCCGTCTGTCAGCAGCCTGTTCTCTGCCTGCCAGCGGGCTCGGGGCTTTCGGCAGCACACGCTGCAGGTCCCCTCGGCCTGAGGACCAGACCCACGGTGGGACCTGCATGCAGGGGATCTTGGTATGTCTTTTATCAAGGAACAGAGGCAGCCTGGAACTGCTGCATGACTGTATGCAGGTCTCCACGGTGCCATACCTCCACTTCTTAGTGTGGTTGCGAACCCGAGAAGCTCAGCATCTCATCCCGACACTTCTAAAGTCACTTATGGCTCAGACACTTATGTGACAGCCACATGTATATCCCAAGTCCCTACCCATCCACGTTAAAGAGGCTTGTCTAACCCCTGCAGGCCTCTAACAAGTTAACAGGATGGATTTTCTCCCTCTCCCAGACTTTGTATTTGGATTTACTGAGCTCTGGGGTCAGCCCTGGATTTTGGGACTGGATAAAATGTGAACCTTATTTGCCAAGAGCACACACAACGGCACTGCCTCCAGACATCCCAGGATGTGTCCAAATATCTTTCTAAAGTTCCTAGAGCTTTAAAGCAATCCAGAGAAAAGAGCTGTGAGGAGATTATTGCAGCACATAACTGCAATAAACCTTTTCTTCATCCTTTCATGGTTAGAGGTATGAACATGAATTATGGCAACTTAAACCTCTTGAGAGCAGCATGTAAAATCACTTTCCCAAATGGCTGGTAAAGAACCTCGTTAAGTTAAGATGTCAGCGCTCGCAAACGCTGTTGTCTGAATGGAGCTATTTTACAAGGCAGTTTAATCCTTCCAGGAATCAAACGACCCTTTTCCACCCACACCGAGCAGCACATTCACTCTTTGCTCCTTGTTTTCGGACCTATTTGTTCATTCGAGGCGCTGGCACCCTCACCTCTTGCAGCAGATGAGATGCCTCATGACTTGCAAATGCAAACAGGTTAAAGAACTTCACATCTGGCCAGCTTTCATGCTGCCTGGCAAATGGCAGCGGCTACAGAGAAGTCAGGGGCTTTTCATGTGCAGCCAGCAGCAAAACAGGAGGAAAGAAAGCTTTGAGGAAAGTTTCCTTGCTCCAGCTGCCACTTTTAGGGTCGTTTTGTCAGCTGCCACACAAACAGGGCTCCCAGTACCCAGCAACCCTTGTGGGACACCTTCCTGCAGCGCCCTATTGCTTCTGGGCATGGATTTTCCTGGAGGAATGAGGAGGATTGAGGGGACCATGCCCTCAAGGGTGGCTCAGTTCCCCACTGACCCGAGAGTCATGATCCCTCCCAGCCACAGCCACATCCCTTCCTTCAATGGTCCTCCATCCCTTAGCATCCTTTTAAAAACCACACAGCTGGGCATAAGCAGCAGGTACCTTCCCTGCCTCATACGCCTTCTGGAGGATGTGTCCCTTTCCCTGGTCATGCTTCCCAGGCCTGACACCACCCTGAAGGGTGCTGCTGCCACGGCACTGATACTATTCCTGAGCCTCTTCTGACAGCCCCCCCTGCCCCAGCAGGAGCCGCTCTGCCTTCCCGAGGCAGAAGCTGATTTCTGGGTCTCCCAGACACATTTCCTCCTAAAGGCACAAATCCCAGTTAGTATTGGATTAAATAACTTCGTGCTGCTAATTTACCATAATTTTGATTATTGCGGGAGAACATTTAAAAATCCCAGGTGCTTTGTTTTGGTCTCCATGGAAATTGATAGAAGGGGTCACCTTTCCACTGCAGAATCTTGATGCTGAGGGGAATGGTTTTGCCTCGTCAGTTGGGGAAGTGATGGGGGCTGGGTTATTTGTCTGCTTTTCTTTTTGTACGTGTCTGTCAGTGAGATTCATAATGAAAATGTGAATCTGCACAGACCAGGCTGTCATCTGACAGCAGGAAGCGAAAAACAGGAAGAAGGGGTGTTACACAAATGGAAATTACAGTAATTAAAACACAAAAAATAACAGCAAAATATATCCGGGCATTACAAACACCAGGCTGGTTTATCGATGCTGCTGCTCTAAAGGCTGTTGTGACTGGAAACTGAAAGAATAGAGAAACGTCTAGTGCTGTTGTTAACCATTAACTATTTTGCTGCTAGTCTGGACGGCAGCCTGCATGGGGAGTCTGTGTTTTTAAGAGTTAATCCTCATTCAAAGCCCACCCAAGCCCATGGAAAGGCCATGCGGGCGTCCAGGGGTGCAGATGACTATTAACTGTGTTTGCAATGGCAACAGCAACCAGGCAACCGAAGCTGGGAGCTCCTCAGC